TCTTTGATATAGATAATAATAATAATGATTATAATAGTAGTAATAATAATAATTATAACGGGTGCTATCTCTCTCACTCTCACTGACTCTGCCCGCTCTCCTTACCTCTTGCCTGCGCTTTAGTGTCACTCTCTTCCTCCTACTCCATCCCTCTTCCTTCCCAGGCTCGGCCACCTTCCTTCTTGTGAATGCCCGACCATAGCCGATGCTGGAACGACCGTGAACTCAGTTGACCGCTTGCAGGCACGAAGAGTCACAAATGGAGACAACTGCACTGGGTTTCTCTCATCCACTGTCTCTTTCTCTTGTTCTCGGTTACACACACGGGCACCCGCCACAACTAACTTCTTCATAAGAGGCCTTGACCGTGGCAGCGAGCTTGCACGAACGCTAGACGGTTACTCCCTCTRCAGCATGGACTGGCGGCCTCCATGACATGGTCATCAATCCCCGTGGTCGCCACCCCTTTCCTCATGCGTGAGACGATCACACCTGCTGTAGCAGCCCTCGTCTTAGTCACTTTCCCGTCGCATCTCCTCCCTAGGCGGTGCACATCTTGGCTTCCGCAGCCATGGCAGCACCAGTCAGCGGGGTTCACCCTGGTCACCCACTCTAGTGAACCCGGTTCCCCTCGGTCTCCTTGGTCCCGAATGTCCCTCACACACCAGGAGCCGCCATAGCTTCCGTTGACTGTCAACCAGCGTTGGCAGCGGTGGGCTGTGTACACCGTGCATACTTCGGAAAAGCTCCCCCCGTCTCCATGTCCAGATGCCCGTTGACTTCGTCCGTATCTGCGACGTGGGCGGGGTACACCTTGCATGCCGCGAGAGACTCCCCCACCTGAATGTCCCAATCCTTTAGCTGGTCTGTCCTTTATCCCACACAGGCCACCCAGTCTCTAATGGAACGGTGGCATGTCTCAGGCCCACAGGCCCAGTAGCAGGACCCAGGTACCAGGCCGTAGCACCAATGTTAATGATACCAACTCGCAGCGAGCAGCTGTGCCGAAGATAGCTGAACCGTACCAGTTTTGGACCGGACCGAATATGATAATACCAGACCGCCATGAGTGTCACCAGCGTTGGGCCCGAAGAGAAGAAATGAATAGGCCGAGTTGCAGCTCCGCTTAGTACCGTACCAGTTACCGAGCCAYAAGAATTAGGAGCAGGCTGCAGTACGCTGCCCCGGTGTCATCCCTGTACCGAACCAACAAGTCACAATTACCGTACCAAAATGGCATAGCTAGCCAGAGCGGCATTCGCCAGTCCCGTTACCATACCAGCCCAACGCCGGACGTCGTAAAGTGCAGCAAAAGTGTCGTGACCATACCGAACCAGTGTACGGTACCAAGATAATAAGGTCGCGTGACCCGTCCCAAAATGGAATCGATAGCCGCAACGATCCGACCATGTTATAGGAACCCCGAAACTGGTACCGCTCAGCGCTCGAGAATTACACCCAAGTTATAACTAAAGTAATAATCAGTTGAATCGGGGAAAAATTACACGTGAATTTATAATTATTGGAAGTCCGTACAAACAGATGACATCATGGTGAATGAATAATTCCTAGTTAAAATCATCACAAATAAACGTCATTAAAATTGATCAAATAATAAGCAATCATTCGTTCTCCTCTCCGTTTTCTCTTCCCATCTATTGTTTTCAACTTTTTCTTCCATTTTTAATTTCGATATTAAGATTAAGGAAATTCGAGGTATCATTCTCGCACCAATAATGCAAGATAAAAGGGTCGTGCCAAGGCTTACTCCCGTATTCCCAACCCGCGGCTAGCTGTTTCGGGAATAGACTCGGAACAAGCGGAAGAGAGGTGGGGCACAGCGTGGTAGAAGCGGTAACTCCCCTCGTTAATTTAAGGGTTACTCTCAGTGGTCAGCACACCCAAAATTGAGGGTGCTCTGGGTACCCCTAATTTTCCCCGTCAGGTCAAACAAGAGTATCGTCAAAATACGGTCTAGTCATCGGGTCGAAGACTCAACACCGCTGACGTAGGGTAGCCCACTGCCTGTGGCCGCCCGGCAGCTAGCCCGGACCTCTTCTCGACGCCCCCGTCGTCGAGCCCTAGCAACTTCCGTTAGACGAAGCGGACGAGCTTCAGGGTGATGGCCCGTAAAGGACGCCCTCCTCGGCGTTCAATTGTCTTATGTTTCAGTTTGTTATGAGTCCTGGGGCTAAGAAGATGCTTCTTGTCTCTCCTGTTTCTTCTGGTTTTTGGCCCCGGCACGGTCCTCTTTTTCTTCTGTCTTTGCCCCGAGAAGGGTTCCGACCCGCCAGTACGTCTAACGCGAACTCTCCGTCTAGCTCGCTTGAGCACGAATAACCATCTCTTCTCTCTTCCTAAAGCTAACCCTTTGACCTTTCTCCTCTCTATTCTTTTCCTTTTCTTGGAACTCTCCCCTGTCTCGAATCGCCTCAAGGGTGCTCCATCCTCCATTATGGCTTTTCCTTTCCTTTTCGGGTTGGTCAGTGATAAGGCGGGCGCGGGCCTGGGCCTAAACAACTTTAACCTAGCACCCGCCACTGGGTCCTTCCACTTGGATCCGTCTAATTCTGCTATCATATATGCACCCCAGTCGAGTGCCTCAACCACTCTGTAAGGTCCCATCCATCTGTTGGCGAGTTTTCCGGTCCAAGTTCTTTCCAGCGCTGCATCGTAGAGAAGGACCATATCTCCTACACTCACCCTCTCCTTCCTCATCCGCACGGTCTTATCCCATCTCTCTTTACCCTTGTCCCTTTCCACTGCCAGACGATCTGCCGCTGTCATGAGGTTATCTTCCAAACCGTAGGCTATCTGTCTTCTTCGCGTAGCTAAGAGTTCCTCTCTGGACATCTCCTCCGCCCAGTCGACGGTTGTCCAGCTGTCGACGTGAAACTCTATGGGAAGCGGACAATGCCGCCCAAACCATAAGGTGTATGGAGGGTATCCCGTGCTAGCCCGGACCGTGACGTTGTCCGCCAAAATTGCGTATCGAAAATATCGTGGCCAATCACTGTCCTTGCCTCTGCACCACTTGGATAGCGACGCTATCAGGGTCTGGTACCCTCTCTCTACTGGGGAGTTCGACTGCGGGTGGTAGGCAGTAGCTATCGAAACTCTCGCCCCAACTCTCTTGAACACACTCTGAACCTCGTCAGCTAGGAATTCTGCCCCTCTGTCCATCACTATCTTGCTGACACAACCATACCTAGATAAGTACTATAGGACGGAGTTTTTCACTTCCTTTGCCATCTTACTCCTGATAGGCCTACCGTCCACAAACCCCGTGAAGTCGTCTCGTATGTTCACGACATAGTTTATATTGCCGACCCCTTTCGACATCTTCACCAGATCGATGTGTACCTTCTCTCCTGGTCTGGTTGGATAGGATGGATGAAGTGGATCTTTGTATTTCACAAAAGCTCTCTTTTGGCATTCTTCGCAGGTCATACAGTACCTCTCGACGTCCTTATACTGTCCTTCCCACCAGTACAACCTGCGTACCTTTTCGTAAGTTCCTTTGACTCCCCTGTGTCCTCCAACTACCCCGTCGTGAAGCTCCGCAACTATTGTCTGTCTCTCCTCAGGGTTACAGACTACTCGTAAGGGCATCCCCGAGCCGTCCGGCCTCCGAAACAGATGGCCAGCTCTAAGGCAGTACTGGGCTGCTTGTCTCCTGATATCTGATTCTTGACTCTCCTTTCCTGACAAATGTAACCTGATCATTCGGTATTTGCCCTCGTAAAGGTTAACCAGAAATCGCTCGGTGCGTCCTGGCTCTGCCATAGTCAGGACCCCGGCTACTATCGGGCGCTCGGCCTCAAGAGGGATGCGCGAAAGTCCATCTGCCACGACATTTTTAGTGCCAGATATCCTCTCAACCGTGTAATCATATAGCCGAATCCGTATTAACCATCGTGCAATGGTCGGGTCTGTCAGACTAAAATCCTTCTGGAGGACAGAGGCAACCGTGGTGGGATCTACTCTCAAGATGAACCGCCGTCCATAGACATAATGTCCCAACGTGTCTAGACACCGCAGAACAGCTAATACTTCCTTCTTGAATTGACTGTAGTTTCGCTCCGCCGTATTAAGTGTCCTACTCTCAAATCTTAATGGTTTTTCTTTCCCTTCAGCGTCCTTCTGCGACAGTAACCCTCCTACCGAACAAGGCCCAACATCCGTGGCTACTATGAAGGGTCTCCCAGCCTCATCATCAAAGTACGGCACGCCCAGTACGCGTCCTGCCTCCTTAAATTCATCTTTAAGCTCTTGCATAGCGAGTTCCTGCAAGGAATCCCAGTAGAATTTCTCAGTTTTTCGAAGGAGTAGTCTCAATGGCTCAGCCTTCTCTGCATACCCTCTTATGAATATTCGCCAGTAACCGACCACTCCCAGAAACTGTCGGACCTCGGTTGGACTATGTAATGGTGACGGCCAGTTCAGGAATTTGTCTAACTTCACCGGATCTGCTCGGCGTCCCCTCGAGTCACAGATAAAGCCCAAGATCTTAATAGTCGAGACGGCCCATCGACTCTTTGTTCCGCTGACTGTTAGATTCGCATCGTCCAGCTGCTCGAGTACCGCGCTAATATCCGTTAGGTGCTGCTCGACGAATCTTCTAACTCCAGGTGCAACCTCTGCCTCATCCTTGNAGCTAAGAGTTCCTCTCTGGACATCTCCTCCGCCCAGTCGACGGTTGTCCAGCTGTCGACGTGAAACTCTATGGGAAGCGGACAATGCCGCCCAAACCATAAGGTGTATGGAGGGTATCCCGTGCTAGCCCGGACCGTGACGTTGTCCGCCAAAATTGCGTATCGAAAATATCGTGGCCAATCACTGTCCTTGCCTCTGCACCACTTGGATAGCGACGCTATCAGGGTCTGGTACCCTCTCTCTACTGGGGAGTTCGACTGCGGGTGGTAGGCAGTAGCTATCGAAACTCTCGCCCCAACTCTCTTGAACACACTCTGAACCTCGTCAGCTAGGAATTCTGCCCCTCTGTCCATCACTATCTTGCTGACACAACCATACCTAGATAAGTACTATAGGACGGAGTTTTTCACTTCCTTTGCCATCTTACTCCTGATAGGCCTACCGTCCACAAACCCCGTGAAGTCGTCTCGTATGTTCACGACATAGTTTATATTGCCGACCCCTTTCGACATCTTCACCAGATCGATGTGTACCTTCTCTCCTGGTCTGGTTGGATAGGATGGATGAAGTGGATCTTTGTATTTCACAAAAGCTCTCTTTTGGCATTCTTCGCAGGTCATACAGTACCTCTCGACGTCCTTATACTGTCCTTCCCACCAGTACAACCTGCGTACCTTTTCGTAAGTTCCTTTGACTCCCCTGTGTCCTCCAACTACCCCGTCGTGAAGCTCCGCAACTATTGTCTGTCTCTCCTCAGGGTTACAGACTACTCGTAAGGGCATCCCCGAGCCGTCCGGCCTCCGAAACAGATGGCCAGCTCTAAGGCAGTACTGGGCTGCTTGTCTCCTGATATCTGATTCTTGACTCTCCTTTCCTGACAAATGTAACCTGATCATTCGGTATTTGCCCTCGTAAAGGTTAACCAGAAATCGCTCGGTGCGTCCTGGCTCTGCCATAGTCAGGACCCCGGCTACTATCGGGCGCTCGGCCTCAAGAGGGATGCGCGAAAGTCCATCTGCCACGACATTTTTAGTGCCAGATATCCTCTCAACCGTGTAATCATATAGCCGAATCCGTATTAACCATCGTGCAATGGTCGGGTCTGTCAGACTAAAATCCTTCTGGAGGACAGAGGCAACCGTGGTGGGATCTACTCTCAAGATGAACCGCCGTCCATAGACATAATGTCCCAACGTGTCTAGACACCGCAGAACAGCTAATACTTCCTTCTTGAATTGACTGTAGTTTCGCTCCGCCGTATTAAGTGTCCTACTCTCAAATCTTAATGGTTTTTCTTTCCCTTCAGCGTCCTTCTGCGACAGTAACCCTCCTACCGAACAAGGCCCAACATCCGTGGCTACTATGAAGGGTCTCCCAGCCTCATCATCAAAGTACGGCACGCCCAGTACGCGTCCTGCCTCCTTAAATTCATCTTTAAGCTCTTGCATAGCGAGTTCCTGCAAGGAATCCCAGTAGAATTTCTCAGTTTTTCGAAGGAGTAGTCTCAATGGCTCAGCCTTCTCTGCATACCCTCTTATGAATATTCGCCAGTAACCGACCACTCCCAGAAACTGTCGGACCTCGGTTGGACTATGTAATGGTGACGGCCAGTTCAGGAATTTGTCTAACTTCACCGGATCTGCTCGGCGTCCCCTCGAGTCACAGATAAAGCCCAAGATCTTAATAGTCGAGACGGCCCATCGACTCTTTGTTCCGCTGACTGTTAGATTCGCATCGTCCAGCTGCTCGAGTACCGCGCTAATATCCGTTAGGTGCTGCTCGACGAATCTTCTAACTCCAGGTGCAACCTCTGCCTCATCCTTGTTTACTGACCCTTTTATAGGAAAGTCATATTGAAAAAATTCAACCTTATCAGGGATGAAGTCCTTGAGGACGGCTACCCCATTAGTCCAACCCATAGGGACAACCATCATCTGTATTAGTCCCAATGACGTATGCATAGCCGTGAGGTGCCTGTCTCTAGGGTCAAGTGGCACCTCATCATAGTCTGAGAACAGATCACAGACCGAATAAATCGACCTACCTGCGGCGCCTTCTGCCAGTAAATCGGCGTGTGGCACGGAGCCCACGTCTCGTATCGCCACCGCGTTAACCTTTTGAAGGTCCTGAATCCATCGGATCTTGCCATTCGGCTTTCGTAGGAAAAACCATCGATTAGCATAAGCGCTATCAGACGGCTCCGCAACATGGGAAACCATCTTTTCTTTCAGGAAAGCGATAACTTCTTCCTTCTCCTTCTGGGCGTATTTCCATCCCGCGTCATTCCAGGGAACATGTGGTATCGTGTAAATCCTTGCTGGCTTAGCGTATCGAGGGTCAACCCTACCGCGCTCCGCGTCACTAAAAGCTATGGCCTTATCACATGTCTTCAAGATTTTTATCACACGTTCTCGCTCCTGTGGGTTCAAATTCCCATCTTCGATGTCCATCCCTGCTATCCTCTCTTCCGTTAGGCGTTGCGGCTCGTTTCTCTTTCTTTCTTTGATTTCTTTCGCGATCTCTTCTTCCGATATCCCTTCCAGTGCAAATCGCTCGCGGCCCACCACCGCTGGCTTAACTTTTTGAGCTACTCGCTTGTGTCGCTTAGCTAGCCCCCCATAGGGGCCCCATACGGGGCCGTGCCCTTAAAAAAGACACGGATACGACACCGCCAAATTCCTCATCTTTTTTCTTTGGGTACGAGTTGCCGTCCACTATTAGCCGACTCCCTAAATCTTCCACCTCCACGATCCGACCTTCTTCCTCTGTGAGCAGTGGTCCATATTTATTATCGCGAAATCGCACCTCGCGGCCGGAGATAGGCAACGACTTAATCTGATCACTGGGTCTCGCACGCACAGCGAGAGCTGCTCTGTTCCTCGGGTCCCGAGGCTCCACTGTCTCAATCATTACCCGCGTCCCGTCTGGCTTCTTAATGGACAATGTTTGGCTCCGATCAGGTTGCTCTATCGTCACCGCATGCACGTGGCTCAGCCACGTTGGACCCAAAAGCAGGTCGGAGCTGCAGTTCTTGACTGCAAAGACAGGCAGGGTCACTCGTACCCCTTGAACCTCTATGGCTGCCTTGTGACCAACCCCAGTGATCTGTTGCTTTCTCCCATCAGCCGTTTCTATCTCGAATAGGTACGACCTGTCGAGACCCAGTTCAACCTGTACTGCCAGGTCCTCGTCTATGATGACAGCCTCACTGCCGTTATCGATCACAGCATCGAGTACCGCTCCATCATTTATAATCGTCTCCACGGCCCCGTTACCAAGTATATAAAACTTGTCTGGAGGCACACCTTCCATNTACCAAGTATATAAAACTTGTCTGGAGGCACACCTTCCATTCCATCGAGAAGGACTGTCGCCATGCGATCCGCTCTGGCAGTCACCCCCGTTACTGCTACTGTAGAAGYTTYCGCCTTAGGGRCCCCCTRACCCTCYTCCGATARAGATATGCGAGTCTTCYGCRTGATCATCTGTAACTCATCACGAGCCGGCTTCGATGCCGCCAGGTACTCCAGAATAGAGCACTGCATGGGCTGCCGAAGGGCCCGCCTCARTGGCTCGACCGTGTCAATCTCGTCCAACGAACTCTTCATTAAAAACTTCTTCACTCCCCTCTTTCGCGGCGAAAGGATAACCTCCTCTCCATCGACCCACTGCCCGTCCTTCTCCGTCATCACGTAATCCATGTCAGTCTTCTTCGATGTAGACCCTCTCGCCGACTTGGTGGCTGTCACCCTTATGGGTGTGGTCGCCATATCCCCCTCAAAGGTTATCTTGATGCTCTGGCTCCTGACCGGCTCTTTTTCTTTACTCGGCTTTACTCTCCTCGCTTCGACATTCTCCTTCATCGAAGGGAACATCGATACATCTCCTAGACCATCTGCCCACTTGACGTACTTGCGGTCGTCAAGCACGACAAGTCTCTCATCTATTGCCCGTTTAAGGTCCGGGCAATCCCTCTTGATATGATCTTCTCCTCTACAGTAGACGCATGAGTTCCTGGGAGTAGATGGCCTGTCGTCTGCGCTTCTCGAGATCGAACTCCTGGCTGCTTTGGGGTCAGGCAACTTGGGATATGGTTCTGATGAGACGCCATATCCGCCTTTCTCATTCCGACCGCGCGAATCGTTGCGGCGGTCTCCTCCAGACCCTCCTTGCTCATACCGCCCTCGCGAATCATTCCGGCGGTCCCCCGAGTCATATCGCCCTCGTGACTCATCGCGTCGGTCCCCTCCGTTGTACCACCCCCGCGACTCGTCGCGCTGCTCTCTCGCATCTCCCCCGCGCTCAAGCCTCGTCATCTAATTGGTCACGGGCCTGAATCTATCAACAAGATTTTTTTATTTTTTTTTTCAATCAATCAATCAATCAAGATCCGTCGATTTCCGTCGATTTCGATGGAACTTTCTGTCGAAATCAACGGATCTTGAATGAATAAATAGATGGTTGATTGATTGAGTGATTGATTCATTGAGTGATTGATTGATTGATTGATTGATTGACTGATTGATTGATTAATTGATCGAGTGATTGATTAATTGATCGATTGATTGATTGATTGATTGGTTGATTGATTGACTTTGACTGATTGATTGATTGATTGATTGATTGGAAAAAAAAAAAAAACCGGAGGGGAGGGGAGCCATCTGATTGATTGGAAAAAAAAAAAAAAAGGCGGAGGTGAGGGGAGCCAGCCGCTAGCCCGGCATAGTCCTCTCGTGCTCCTCCTCCTCCTCCTCCTCTTCCTCCTCCATCGCATCTCTCTCCTCCTCCTCCTCCTCCTCCTCGTCCCCCCCCTCCTCCTCCTCCTCCTCTTCTTCCTCCATGGCCTCCTCCTTTTCCTCCTCCTTTTCCTCCTCCTTTACCTCCTCCTTTTCCTTCTCCTTGTCCTCCGCCTCCCCCTCCTCCTCTTCCTCTTCCTCCTCCCCCCCCTCCTCCTCTTCCATCTCCTTCTCGTTTTGTTCCTCCTCCATCACCTCCTCCTCCTCCTCTTCGGCCTTCTCCATCGCCTCTTCCTTCCTACTCCTCCATCTCGGATTCGTCCTCGTCATCTTTATACCGACGGGCGAAAAACAACACCTCATCTTTTGAACGTAAACGACGGGAGTAACTATGACTGTCTGAACTTTGAAGGAAGTCAAATACCTCGTCATCTAATTAGTGACGCGCCTGAATCGTTTAACGAGATTGCTCGCCTGAATCGTTTAACGAGATTGCTCCTTTTTTTCAATCAATAAATCAATGAATCAATCAATCAATCAATCAATTAATCAATCATTCAAGATCCATCGATTTCGACGGATTCGACGGAAATCGACAGATCTTGAATGAATAATTAATTGATTGATTGATTGATTGATTGATTAAAAAAGAAAAAAATGAAGAGGAGGACGAGGAAGAAGAGGAGGAGGAGGACGACGACGAAGAGGAGGAGGAGGACGACGAAGAGGAGGACAAAGGAGGGACGAAGAGGAGGACGAGGAGGTGGAAGACGAGGTGGAGGAAGAGGAGAAGGAGAAGAAGGAGAGGCAGATTGTCTCGCCTCAACCCCCTCTAACCCACCGCCCAGCCCCCTAACCCACTTTTTTTTTCCCCCCCCTAAATCAATCAATCAATCAATCAATCAATCAATCAATCAATCAATCAAACAAACAGAAAAACAAAATTGTTATCCAATCGAAGGGGGGAAATTATAATGGATATTCAATGCGTTTTTCGCAAAAGACTCTTATATTTGAACCTATGGTAGTCCTATGTAAGCGCCAAAAAAAAAAAAAAAAAAATCATTTTTGTTACGGACATTTTTCCGTTTATCCGAAATTCCGAATAAACCAGATGCCGGATAAAGCGACCGGATACTCCGGTCAATTAATCCGGCCGGAAATGGTAAACAACTTAGGTTCCAGGTCTAGCAACTCCTTGTGGATGAACATTTCCTATTGTTGTTGCAGGGCCGCTTTGGCCTTGCAAAGTTCCTTACACATCCGAGCGAGAAAAAACAAACCATTGTTAAACCATTTGATTTAGAGTCAAAGTGGGTTTTTTGTGGATGCTAAAATTGCCATTCGTGCCGAATCATTTACCAAAATTGTTGGTCTCTTAACAAAGAGGTGTTGAGCTTGTAAAACCCAGACCCTTGATCCGCCATTTTCCTCATTGTTAGTATTATCCCACATGTTTTATAGTTCAGGCCTGGATGCGGGCTACGTGGGAGGATAGCCTGAAGGGCTCCTTCTAGGTCGTTAGAGAGAAGGATAAGATCGATCCGCGATTTGGATAACCAAGCCGGGTTGTTGCCCCTTGTGCATGTAAAAGTTCGATCATTGGGTTGAAGGCGGCGGAAGGTGTCAACAACCGAAAGGCTTTCACACAGATATGCTATCATATGTTCATCTTCCTTTGCGGCAAAGGGGGGGTATCCTGAGGGTTGCATCTATCCCGCCACCTATCGGGGGCGACATTGAAATCCCCCACGACAACCAAGGGGATGCCTTCAGGCACATGCGTTCTTATGTCCCCCCAAAAAACCCTTCTTTCTCACACTGTATATTGGGGAAGTAGATGCATAGGATGCAGAGCAGCTCTAGCTCCAGCATCCCCAACATTGATACCCACCGCCCCTCTTACTCGTTTGTCACCCAATGGACCATCTGGAACCTGGAGTCGGGAGAGATCCATATTGCTACCTCGCTGATCCTGACATAGGGGTCAAACCATCTTATGGACCCTATTATGCTCCGATTTGTATTGAAGGTCGGTCTCCTGAACACATATCACATCCGGCCATTGCCTCCCGCCCACTCCTCTGAGTTGGTCCCAAATGGTCAGACATTTCTCAGGATTGATAGTTGTCAAACCATTTACGTTGATAAATCGTAGGTCTGGGTCCGCCGTTTCGACCGTTCGTACGCATTTTGCTGCCAGACAGGGTTTGTACAGTATAATGTCTCAATGCCATCCATCCTCCAAGTATTTCCTTATAACGATTAGGGAGGAACTTACTCACAGGGAATGCCACTGTTTGACATCCCATTTGTCAAGACACAGGACCTCTTCCACACGATTCTGCATAAACACTTGCACACGTCATCGTCTGTCCAGAAGTTGTTTGCTTCAACTTTCGCGCATTGCGAATCTAGCTGGGCATTGTGGCTGTACCGGTGCAAATTGGCAGTTTTGTTTCCGTGCCATCTGCTGGTCACAACCCTCGAAATTCATTGCCGCTCTTGCCTTGGGTGTGTAGTGCTTAGGGATAGATTCCCCGGCTTGTCTCGTAAAGGTCTTATCCCTCTCTCTTATGTCCTCGATGTGTGCCGGAAAGTCCCAGCCCTGCAGTGTAACCCCCCCATCATGATGTTCCCCCACCGGGGAAAGTCTAATCTCCCATTTCCCTCCATCTTCCTCATTGGGACCACCAACACTCCGTCCGCCTTAGAGAGGGACAGCTAGAAGAGGCCCCGTTCAATGAGTTGTCGCAGCTTGAGTCGTCGCGGAGTCGTCCCCTCCTCTGCATCCACTCCGCCCCCTCCTTCTGGTGGGGGGGGGCTGCTTCTGCACTTGGCCCGTTGCCTTTGGGCAGGGGGTGTCCGGGGTGGGCGGGGGACAGAAACGGCCTCGGGCAATAGCCAAGATGGGTTGAAAGGCTTCGGCCCATGTTAAATGGGTTGGGGGCCCATACGTCGGCACGGATCTTAGTGTGAGGCTATTGTTCAGTAGTGTGACCAACTCTACATACGACGTGTCCTAGTATTCCTCCCCTTCCTGTGAATATTCTGAACTTTGGTGCTTGATTATCCATTCCGTGATTGTCTGGATTTTTTAATGCAGGGCCATCTTTTGTGGGGGGGCATCCGGGTCACAGTCCACCATTTCGACCTCTGGAGGGGGAGGGGTAGTGTCCACATCCATCGGTTGGGCCCTGAAAGCGTCCGAACAGAAGTCCAGGGCCAGAGCTTGTTGCGTGTGTTGTGCCTGTTGCGCCTGTTGCGCCCCTTGCTCCTGTCGCACCTACTGTGCTTGCTGAGATTGATCTGTCGGTTGCGATTGTTGCACTTGCTGGGCCAGCTCTACCTGTTGTGCCAACTGTGTTTGCTGTGTCTGCTGTGTCTTCTACACCTGTTTCGTTTACCTGTCGAGGCCCAGTTCAACCTGTACTGCCAGGTCCTCGTCTATGATGACAGCCTCACTGCCGTTATCGATCACAGCATCGAGTACCGCTCCATCGTTTATAATCGTCTCCACGGCCCCGCTACCAAGTATATAAAACTTGTCTGGAGGCACACCTTCCATTCCATCGAGAAG